CTACGTTCTGCTGAAGTGCCCTCACTCCTCGCAAACTCGCACGAGTACTCCAAAAAGTGTATCCAACTGCAATCACGGCCAAAGGCTTTTTTTTTTGGGGGGGGGGGGACGTACGGATTTGAGATGGGCCAAAGTTTTGAAAACCTTCTGATGCTCCGACCCTGCCCCGAGCCCGCCTTTTACTTCTTGTGGCGACAAGTTATTTTGCTGCAAGGCTGAGGCCGTGTACTGGTGGTTTAAAATTGGGAAGATACACAGAAGATTAGCATGGCCATGCACAAGGATGACACCCATGAATCGAGAAACAGACTCAAATAATCAAAAATTTTAAAAAAGGAGAGAAAAAGCAAGTTCCACATGGGCAAGAAGCGAACCATACCCACCTTGCTTTCATAGACTGTGCAGTGACTGGCATAACATAGATGCTCGTGACGTTGTAATCTCCTACTGCATCCCGGAAATGCACGGCCGTCTTGTTCTGTAACCGATTTACAAGGCCCTGTCACCAAAATAGTGTGCAGAACATGTCGTTAGTGCGTTAATGCCTTTTCAAAAGAGTTGCGCATTTAAAATTTGAAGTTATTTTTAATGATGAATTAGAGAAGCCTTTACATATCCTGGAGGTATGGTACTATCAAACCCCCCTTTTTTTTTTTAAATACTAAGTTACTAACATTAAAACTTAAAAGAAGTGCACAAGATGAAAAATGTACAGTAAAAGAGAGGAAAGAGACTGGAGCCATCTGACAATGTTACATGCCCAGATGGGCAATGTACATAATAACCGAGGATCCGCAATGTGATAAAAAGGACTGAATGGACAATGCAGTGCAAGTAGATCTCAACAAGCAATGTGCATTCCGATACATACAAAATGGTGCTGAAGAGCGCAGTGGAAGACTTAGATACAAGTCCTGACCTGACCGGGACTGACCTCATTCACATAGTATCAGATAGCGAAGCAGAATGCTAGAATGCTAATGACTAGCCCAATCAAATGTTTGAATGCAGACCAAAACATACATCGTGTCCATCACAAAATGTGAAGGAGCCTGGCGCTGTACACAGGAAGGAAGCGCCAGGTCCAGACATACACACACGAGGAGGAGGGGATCAGACGAAGAGGAGAGGGAAAGATGGGGATGTCGTCAACACCAAGTCTTTGTCACAAGTCCCAAATAATCCCTCGTTGCAATGTCTGAAGCCCAAAAGTCGAGTCTGGATCCAATGTCACCAAGCTCTCTCTCTTCTCTCGTAGTCTGCTGATGCAGTGAAGTCAGATGATGAGAGGGTGAGAGGGAGATGGACTGAGAAGAGGAAGAAGAAGAACTCTCTCTCTCTGTTACGAGCCAGGTACTAACCTGTGAAGTTGGCGCTGTGCTGCAGCTACCTCGAAGACGAAGCTGGAGCAACGGCGCTGTAGGTAAGTACCTCTGGCCTCCGCCCAATCTCTCTCTCTCTCTAGTGCTATCCTAGCTATGGCGCCCAGCGCTGGAGACTACAGCTACCTACTGCGCCCAGCGCTGAAGACTAAGGCTAACGCTACTACTACTCCTGCAGCGCTCCCTCCAGAGTGCCGCTGCCGAATCTAAGGCTAACGCTACTACTACTCCTGCAGCGCTCCCTCCAGAGTGCTGCTGCCGAATCCTGAAGACTACTGCCTCCTGCCTGCCCGTGAAGTGCATGGGAAGTCCCTATGTACTAACCTCGGCCTGCTTCCTGACTGCCTGAAGGGCGAGCCAGGCCGAGGAGGCTGCTCTTGCCAATGTCGAAGTGTGCCAGGGGCTGGCGCTGCAGCAGTTGCTGAGGCTGGCATGGGAACAGGCTAAGAATAGCCTGTTCCCGAAAMCCTGGTTCGGTGCCTGAGTTTCAGGGCCGGTCGTTCTGATGMACGACCRAAAATGGCCCTTTGTTTCAGGCTAAAAAGGCTATTGCCATTTTTAGTCGGAAACGACACAGGGACTGTAGGCCCCTGTTTTCAGGCTTTCGGGCTGAACAGTCACGGGGCCTGTAGGCCCTGGTTTTCAGGCTTTAAGCCTGAATTTCAGGCTTTCAGCCTGAGGGACGCAGGGCCTGGAAAATGGCCCTCGTGTGCAGGCGCAGCATGTAACACCCCCCCCTCCTTATGAAGTCAAGCCGGGGCGAGGGC